CCCCGGCGGATCGCTTGCACGCTGTGACAGGCGACGGGCGACAGGCGGAGGGGTCCGCGTTGAGGGAGAGGAAGTGAAAGCAAAAGCGAAGCTGCCTGGGCAGCACGCTCGGCCGGGAGCACCGGGTTAGCCCCGGCTTTGCATTACGAACGAGCCTTAGCTCTCATGCCCGTGTGGTTATCAGTCGGCTCATCTGCGAACAGAATGCCTTTCTTTAACACGCTCGTCTGCTTCCACTTTCGGGAGCCCTGGCCCCTCTGCTCCGGGGAATGTGCCGGTGCTGTTGGGGATCCCGCGCCGCCCGGCCGGCCCTGGGGGTGCGGCGGGGGCCTCTCGGCCTCTTCTCGGTGTGCTGGGGGGGGGTCTGGAGCCCCTGACTCATGCTCCCCAACGTCTGTGTGTGACCCCAGCACCCTGTCACACCATTCTCAGCCTCGCTGGCCACGTGACGTCCCGCCACCAACATCCTTGCCCTGGGGAGGTGAGGCGGGACAGGGAGAGAGCCGCGCAGTGACCAGGCCTCCGCGCGTGCCTTACTCCCCAGCTCTTGTTTTCACTCTGAACATTGAAACCGATCCAGGGACAGACCCTGTCTCCTGAAACATTTCAAACGAACTCGTTTGCTCATAATTGCAGGAGAAAGAACCACCCAGGGGTGATCTGAGTGTCTCAGATTTTCTGAAAGGAAAAGCAGGAGCTGACAGGGAGCAGGGGGAGAGGGAGGTGAAGTCGCCCGGGGCCGGAGGAGGCGTCATGCCACCCAGACTGAACTGAGGTGCCCTTGCCTCGCATGGGCTTTCCCTTGCCTCCCGTTTACACTAAGCGGGAAAGGTAAATCAAAGCACCCCAGCGTCTTTGGCTGTGATCTGACCACCCCCAAAAATCCCGGAGAAAAGCTCCGTCCCCCCAGCTGCCTGCTGTGGACGCTTTGTTCCCAGCAGCCTGGCCACCCGTCTGCAGGCTCCACGCGGGTAACAAGCCCCAGGTCACTGTTGAGTTGATGGGACTGAGGCCAGGAGGAAATTCATGGCCCGGCGTGGCCTCTGCTGAGCTGGGCTCCCCCATCCGGAGCCACAGAGAGGACAGAGCAGGGTGACCAGCAGGCCACCTGTCCTCGAGGCCCCCTGGGGCTGGGACCTCTCAGAGCCACAGGGCGCCAAGCAGGGGGTCTCGTGGCACACATGAGAAGCTGCAGGCAGGGTTGAGCTCACGGCGCGGGTGCCACAGTGAACGGAGATGTGTGGCTCTCTCCAGAGGACACGTCTCCTATTCAGAGCTGCCTCCTCCTCTGCCCGATCATTTCTTCTGGGGGCCGTGACTTCAGAGACTTTCTCTTCTCGACCCTGAGACCCCCTCCTGCCCCGTCTCCTTCGTCCTCTCAAAATTGAGGCTGAGGTCATGTGACTTGAGCTTCTGAAAACCATCTGGCAAACCCCACCCTGCGTTATGGATCTTCAACTTTCAGTCTGGATGCTGTCCCTTCTATGTCCGTGCTGTTGGGAGCTGGTGTGTGTGTGTGTGAGATGGAGAGAGAGAAAGGGGGATTGTTCACTTCCGTGCGTTCGTGTGTGTGCGTGGCAGGGGGTGTCCGTAAGTGCAGGAAATCCTGGTTGAAACCCTTGGGATTACGGAAATCTGAGAAACCCCATTAATATCATGTAATGTTTCCTTCTCAAAGAGAAGCCTGTCTTCAAAAATCTTTTTTTGAAAGATTTTCTTTCAAAAATCTTCTCTTTATTATTAATATTTCAGGGACATTTTTATTCCACTTGGTAGCAACCGGTGTTTCCAACAGTCAGGACGGGGACGGAGGCACTTTCTGTGGCCACCGAGAGGGAGCAAGTCAGCCTTGGGGAGACTGTTGAAAAAATTGTTTTTTTTTTAAACTAAAAACAGTCTATTATATCCCTTTCAAAAAGACATTTCTAGAGGGGCGCCTGGGTGGCTCAGTCGTTAAGCGTCTGCCTTCGGCTCAGGTCATGATCCCAGGGTCCTGGGATCGAGCCCCGCATCGGGCTCCCTGCTCGGCGGGGGGCCTGCTTCTCCCTCTCCCGCTCCCCCTGCTTGTGTTCCCTCTCTCGCTGGGTCTCTCTCTGTCAAATAAATAAATAAAATCATTTCTTTAAAAAAAAGACATTTCTAGGGGCACCTGGGTGGCTCAGTTGGGGTTGAGTGTCCAACTCTTGATTTCAGCTCGGGTCATGGTCTCACGGTTGTGAGATCCAGCCCTGCTTCGCGCTCCGTGCTCAGCGTGGAGTCTGCTTGGGATTCTTTTTCTCCCTGTCCTTCTGCCCCTCTCCCCGCTCACGCTCTCTCTCTCAACATAAATAAATAATTAAAAAAAAGGCATTTCTAAAATTCGCTTTATTCATCCAATGAATATTGAGTCCTGTGTGGATTTATCTAAGAGCAGTTTCTCATATTATTAGAATTTAAAATTATTAGTATTATTTTGCAAAGGAAACTGTGCCCCACGATTTGCACATTTTCCTCTGCTATCTGAAACGCAAAGGCAAGACTTTGGAATGAAAATTGAGGCACCTGACAGTCTTCCGAGCACCTCCCAACCTGGTGCCCGGGTGACCAGCCTCCCACATCTCCCCTACTCCTGCTTCCCTGCATGACTTGGGAGCCACTCCACGCGGCTGGTTAAGCCTACAGGTGCGCCTCCTCAGGAGGGATGCTGGCGGGCACCTCATTGCTCTGTAACACCAGGAGCAACCGCTTGATCCTCAGAGGTGCTGCAAGGGTGGGGGGCTCCTCTCTCCCTCAGAGGGCTGGGGATCTGAAATGCCCCAGGTAGAACAATTTCGATGCTTCGGGTGATGTCAGTGTTGCATATGCTTAAATGGGCACCCCAAGTTCCCTCTGAGCTTGTGAGCTGAACTAGGGATAGTTAATCCCCCGAGGCTGTGCTGGAGAGAAACATCCAGCAGGTGGGGAGGGGTCTGAAGGACTTTCGATGTCATATTGGGTTTGAGTAAAAGAGCCGGGAGCGTTTCTGACCCTATGCTGGACCCTTGGGAACAGTAAGCATTTGGGGACCAAAGTGGGGCTAAGAGAATCAGTAAGAGTTAAGGATTATCATTCCATCCCAGCAGAAAGTATCTATCCCCTGGTGGAAAGAGATGGAAAGACGTTGCTGCAAAGCAGTCCATTTCACGTGCACGCTCCCCTGAAATTTAATAATAAAACAAGGATGTTTGAAGACAGGCCCCTCTTTGAGAAGCTCACACATCTGTTTGCTTTTCCAGAAGCTGGCCACAAAAAGCTACCTACTTTGCTACTAAAGTTTGGCTCAAACACTCTAACAAACGTCTTTTTGAAATAAAGAATCCGGATCTTTCGTTATTCTATTCTGTATCTCACAAAAGTGCCCTCCCGGGCCTGGCCCCACGGTGCTCCTTCCGCGGCCCCCCAGCTTGTGGACACACGACCGAGGACACCACGGTCCACAGAGGAAGGGGCATTGGATAGCACATCTCTCTCCATGTGCCTACATCCGATTCTCCTTCACTCACATTTCACCTTCATTTGGAGTAAGGAAAAGTATTTTTTTTAAGTTCTAATTTTTTATGATTCTTCTTTTGCTTTAATTTCTGCAATATCTTTTGGTAATAGGGAAAGAAAACACCTAATTTTCAAAATGCTGGGTTCTAAGTACAAGCTGTAGACATCCCAGGAGCAGCGGTGGATTCAAATTTCACCGGTTTGTGAAGCAAGCACCAGCTTGTGTCCAGCAGGAATCTGCTCAACCCAGGCTGGGCCCCAGGGCCAAGAAGGAGCCTGAGCAGAAGAGGGAGAGCTGGAGGACAGCTGATGGGGGTCCTAGGGACCTCCCTGGTGTGTGCTCTCTGTGTTTCTTAATGCAAAACTGTTTCTCTGAAGTCAAGAGCCTCGAACTGCTTTTAATGGTTTGCACAGGCGATGGGAGAATGTACCCTTTGTTATGTGGTCTCTGAAAACATTTTTGAAAGCAGTGGAATCCCTTTTGCAGATGAAATCTCATGTGTAACCCCAAGATATTATAGGCAAAAGCAAACTGTTCTGATGGGAGGGGCTGGGCCCCCCAGCATCCCGAGGAGCCCGTCGCTTTGGGAGCTCAGTGGAAATGTGCCCAAGGGGCCTGGCTCCGGAGCGTGGAGCCTCCAGGGGCCATTTGCAAACTTGTAATTAAAGACATAGACTAAGAGCTCCCAGCACTGGGGATGCGTGGCCTTCTTGGTTGAAAGAAACTCTGCATATGGCATCTTCTATCCTGCTCCACTCACGGCCTGGACAGCCACCACAAGGAATGAGGACCAGCAGTGCTTGTGGTCCTAGGGCAGCATGGATTGCTAGCGTGGATCCAGCGTGCTGAGCGGTGTCCTTGACCTCAGGAGGGTTGGCAGCAGAAGTGAGGTGTCCCTTGGCCCTGGTGGGGCCAGGGGCTGAAGTCAGGGCCACCGAGCTCAGGAAAGATCAGTTGGCTACCAGTGGGGCCAGGATTTTTTGCCCAAACAAGGCCGGTTTCCTCTGCAGACTGGCTGGGAAGCCACAGGGATTGCAGGGCACTCCCGGAGGGCAGTGCTGGCCCTTTTTGAGAGAGCTTGGCCAGACCGAGCCCCAGAGACAACAGTTCATAAGTGATCGGCCGGCTCTGCACTCCCTCCTGGGGCAACATGAGCAGGGAAGGGGACCCCTGTGGTTTCAGGACCTGCCGTTCCCGTGGCTTTCCTTCACGGAAACCACCATCTTTTGGTTCTTGAGCCCCGGCAAGCTGCCATCTGAGGTCTCTGATGGAGCAACAGTGGGGCATCGCTGAGCTCCCAGAAACTCAGCGCTGGCCAAGTGTCAAGTCGCTGCCCCCGCCGTGGGACAGGGCTGGGCAAAAGTCCTTGGCAGAGCCGCAGCCGACCCTTCACCTCGGCAGGCCCCTCTCATCAGTCTGGGGGCAGAGGCCCACCCGGCCCCCCCCCCCAAGACTGCTCCGAAGGCCCGTGTGCAAACTCTGCACCTACCTGCTCGTTGATCTGGCACATGGTGAGGTTCTGGTCATCGCAGGAGCATGCCACCCGGATGTACTTGAGCCAGCTGCCGGAGCCTGCCTGACCAGCATCCATGCAGAGCCTCTCAGTGCTCAGGTCTTCGGAGATCTGGCGGGGGGAGAGAGAACCGGGGAGGGTCAGAGGCATCCTGTGTGCGAGAGTCTGCACACTCTGCCGTTTACCCAATGAGGGACCAGGTATTCGGGCCCCGTGGGAAGGCAGCCCAGCATCTGGGCCTCAGCAGACCCCGTGGGCAATGGCAAGGTCCTTGTCCCACCCAGCTGCCCGTCCCAGGAGCCTCTGAGAGCCCGGCAGAGAGGCGGCAGGATGGCCCTTTTGCTCACCGAGCAGACTGCTGCCCTGGCCTGGTGATGAAGGGAGCCCCCAGGGTTGCAAGAAGCCCCAGCAGAGCCATCCCACATGTGAGAAAGCAGAGGCCACTGCATCTAAGAACAGAGCCTTCTGTCAAGGGGAGTTGGGGCGTTGGGCTGCGGAAAAACATTCTAGAAGGTAAAGGTGTTGTTGGGGTGTGTGGCTGCATATGAGTCGGTGTGAGTGTGCATGTGCACGCATGTGTACGTGTGTGCGCGTGTGCATGCCCACACTAGCATGCACATCACCCGAACGTAAGAAAAACATGCCATTTTCTTAAAGGGTGGAAAGTTTCCATTTGACACCTGGGACCTGCAGAGGCCCGGCCTCTCAGCACACCCTTGGCGGCCAGCACGCCTGTGACTGGCATTATTAACTTTGTTGTTGCCACTGATTTCTGAACGTGCTTCTTAGGGTGTGCATCTCTGAGTGGGTCATTTACTAGGAGAACTGAATGCTGTCCCCTGCTGAGAGACGGATGCCCCTGGACCTCTGGACCCTGCGGGGAAGCTGCAGCAGGGTCCCCTCCCAACCCCACACCTGCTCTGTTCAGTGCCTGCTCTGGGTTCTGAATCCAGAGCCTGGGAGCCAGCAGCATCTTGGGCCAACTTCCCGGGAAGTCCAGCCCCACCTCTTAGAGGGTATGAGGGAGGGGTTGAAGCCTCAAAGTAGGAGGGGGTGTCCAGGTCTGGTGTGTCCTAGTGAGCAGGGGTGTCCTGGTGGGCCGGGTGTCAGAAGGATCTGGTAAAGTCAGGGCAGGGGGTAGTGACCTGTTGCAGCAAAGACCGAGGAGACTGATTCCAGGCACCGTAGCCTCTGATCCCTGGAGCGTGTCCCAAGGGCCTGCTCTGAATAATAGGGACCTGGGAAGGGCAAGAGGCTGTCCCCTCGAGGCCTGGAGAAGCAGCTTCTGTCCAGCAACTCAGAATGCTTTGTAAGAGTTCAGATGCTCCCCAGATGTCCACTGACACTTTCTGAATGGCCAAGGGCTGCGCCTGGACTCTGGGCCACGAGGAAACACGGTTCTGGGAGGCAGGAGTGTTGCTGCAGGGTGCACAGAACCTGCCTCTCCTCCGTCCGCCCTTGCACACGAGGGGCTCCCGGAAACCCCTCCTGGAGCCCACGCAGCCCCTTCCACGCACGACAAGTCTCAGAGCCAATAGGCCTGGCCCCAGCTTGGCTGACGTCTCCGGAGGCTGATCCGGAAGGGACTTGGAACCTGGGTGCCTCGGATCTGTGATTCTCCTTTCTGGGGGGGCTTTTCCCAAATGGGCCTAATTCTGAGAGAGGAGAGAGGGGCCAGGAGTCCTAACCAGCGCGGAGACAGAGATAGATGGGTGGGGTTGGAGGGGCAGCGTGGCACAGAGAAGCCCTCCGTCCAGCCCCCAGCCCTCTGCCGCCTGTGTCTAGACCCTCGGAGCGCCAGGGGGCATGGGGGGCATCAGGAGGCCACCATGGGCTGGCCGGCAGGGGGAGGACCGCAGGCCCACATGGGAGGGGCCCCTCTCTGGGCACTAATGCCTCTGAGGGGCCTCCCCTTGCGCCTCCAACCCCAACTGCAGGAAACCCACAGAGAAGACCCACAAAGCAAAACCTGTGGTTCGAGGCATCTCAACTGATGGGGCAGCAGCGCTGTAGGGAGGACGGGGGGCTGAGCGGCCAGAACACATGCACCCCCTCCCCCCCTGCGGGGGCCCGGGCTCTGCGGGGTGCCCACCCCACGGCCTCCCTCTCTGTCCACCCGTGCCCGTGGCACGGGCTGGGGAAGAGGTGCTGGCTGCCCGGCTCTGCGCCCACCCCCCTGCCCACCACCCCTCGGGGCCTACCTGTAGCCTCAGGCCTGTTGCTTCACCTTGAGGGGCATGAGGCCGTCTCCCCAAGTGGTTGGTAGGAGTAATCCCTAACTAGCTAATCCCTGCTCTAAGTGCTTGGAAGCGCCTCTCCATCCCGTTTGCTCACGGGTGAGTGTGTGTGAGTGTGTGTGTGAGTGTGTGTGCATGTGAGTGTGTGAGGGGCACTCCGGTGGGGGTGGGGGGCAGCCCGTTGTGTTTTTGGGAAAAGACAAAGTAGTCCCAATGAGGAAGTGGCCCGAGGCAGCCTGTGGGGCCCACCTGCCCCCACCAGAGGCCCCAGTTTCCCGTGCCTGCACCCTCCCTGGGGGTCCTTTCCCTTCCAAGTCCCTCTGCGCCACCTTCCTCCACGCCCCCCTCCCGTCTGTCTTCCCCACACTGCCCCGCGTGGGAATGTCCTGGGATGCGGGTCTCAAACGCAGACTTGGGGGTTGCAGGCCAAGTCCCTGACACGGGGCGGGGACTCTGTCCTGCAGGCTCCCTCCCCAAGGGGTTCTTGGCTTTCTACCAGGAGGGGAGCTCCGTGCCACATGGGGGGCAACTCCCCTGCTGACCCCCTGTCTCTGTCACCCCAGAGAGGGTGCTTGATCCTTCGGGTGCCCCAGGGACTTGTCGTGGGGGCAGGTGAGGAAGAGCAGAGGGACCCGAACTGCCTGTGGTGCTTGGGCTCCTGCAGGGTCCTGCCCCCACCCCCTTCCCCCCCATGCCTGCCGTCTGTGAACCAGCGCACCCCACTGCGAGCACCCCTGTGTGCCCAGGAGCCCACCGCGCTGCTGGCGGCCTCGTTGTCTGGGACCCCACGGCACCACGGGCAATGCCTTCTCGATGGGCAAACCCTGCCTTCCGGTGAGCTCGCTCGGTCCTGGTCCGACCAGCCTCTCTCTTTCCCGTAGGTTGGCCCCCGTCCTAACCCTTCCCTGTGCTGGGCAAACCGCTGCGGGTCTCTCAAGCGTGTGTGAAGGGCTGGTCACTCAGCCACACGGACACCGATCTGTCCCTGTCCCTGTCCGGGTGCAGCTCCGGTGTGTTTCCACTCGGGCCAGCAACCTCCCTCCCGGTGACTCCTGGGAAATGCCCCGCCCCCTTCAACCCAGAAAACCTGGTCCCCCAGCCCCTGACCATTTGGCCGGTCACGGGGTGGGAGTTACCTCCTGGCAGGCGCTGAGGGTCGGAGGAAACCCCTTCTCTCTGAAACCCTTCCTCTGAGCAGCGTCAAGTGAGCTGCAGGCCCTTTCCTCCAGAGAAGGCAGAAGTCCTGGTGTGGGGGCCCTGAACCAGCAGTGCACGCATGGGGAGAGGGCCCAGGCCTGTGTCTGCCATCACGGTTGGGCATCAGGGGCCTCACCAGGGCGCACCGGGGCCCACCTGAATAATGGAGTGAGACGGAGGGGCCGGAGCCTGGGAGGCTGCTGTTTTTCTTCTTCAGACCAGGGAAGTGCTCCCTGGGCACCCAGGGCCCATGCCTCCGGCTCGGCGGGCAGGACACCGCAGCCTGGCTCTTGCTTGCGGTGCATGGGCCCATGCCCTCTCGGACTCCAGAAAGGGAGAAATGGGTGCAGACATTTGCCTCCCCCTTGCTTCCCTTCCTTTCATCTCTCCGTGTTCCCCCAGGGACTCTGTAGTGCCTGAGCTGGGCCTTTGGGAAGCTCACACCAAGAGCCCATGGCGTCGGCACGGGTCTTTCTTTGTGCCTTCGCAACTGCTCCCCGGTCACCACAGGCCTCTGAGGAAGGGGCTGGGATTGTCCTGTTTCCCATAAGAAGAGATGGAGAGGCCAGGAGCGGGGCTCTGGAGCTGCATCAGGGGCCAGAGGGAGGGTCTCTGTGCCTGCTCCAAGACCTGCAGGGTCCTGGAGTTGGGAACACAGGCCTGGACACCACAGGTCCCTCTCTCTGCCTCGTTCATAGTGGGACACTCCAGCGCCCGTGGGATAGGTGAAGGCCACCCCTCCCCAGCTTGGCGGCAGGGCTGAGGCCTGCTCTGGCCCCACAGGAGGCCAAGACAGTCACAAGTGCATGGGAAGGATGAGGGCTGAGCCCCGATGCTGCAGGATGCATGAGGAGGGAGGAAGGGGTGGCCCAGCCCTCCAGGCGCCTCCTCCGGGCTCCTGGCCCCTTTAGCCAGCAGAGGCCTCCAAGGTCTTGGGGCCGAGTCTCTTTCCAGGTTTGAAATCTGGCTCTCCTGCCTGATCCCATTCCAAGGCCTTGCTCCAGGTTATTTGGGGCTGAGCCTCGGGAATCCCAGAGCCTCCAAAGGAAGCTGCCCTCCTGCCCATTCTCACCACTCAGCCTCACAGGCCTCCCCACCCCTGGTCCCCCTGCCAGGTCCCCCAGCTCATAAATCACCCCCATCAGAAATGCTGAGTTACGAAGCAAAAGGATGGAAAAATTCTCGAAACCTTGACAATTTTTTTTGCACATCATTTGAGGTTTCCTGCACTTCTAATTTGCGGGCTCTCTGCTGGGCTGGTTCTCTCACATTTAATAGGTCCGGCCAGCCACCGGCCCCGTCCGGGGTGTGCGCACAGGCGGGAATGCCAAGGCGTCTGTCGTCAGCTCACCTAATGGATTCTGAGCATGTAGCAAGGCGTGGGCCTGGGAGTCTGCCCTCCCGCCACCCCAGTCTGGGGCAGTCAGGCGGCTCCGTGGAAGCCCGGGCACGGTGTCCGCCCATGGCAGTGGTGGGGGGAATGGGGGAGGGCCTCTTTCTCCTACCCCAACCCCTTCTCTAAGGGCCCACACAGCCGCGTGGGTCTCTTTTCTGTCCATAGGCGCACACATGCATACACACACACCGTGGTTATGATTTATGGCGTCCATGAGTAGCTGAAACAGAAAGTCCATTCTTGTGACGGAAGGAGGTAGGGGAAAAGCATTCTGGAAACAC